GATTACCACCGCACAACCCCACAACGCAAACATGCTTCCACAGAGTTCCATTAGCATGCGTTAAGATACACTCACAACTAAAATTAATTGGTTAAAAATATTCACCACACATAGTTAAGAATCATGTGGTTTCAAAAATTTATGTATTTTCAAGAAAAAGGTTAATAATGGTGGGAACTGTGATGATATTTACAGATATATAAGACATGAAACTCGTAAGCTAAAACGCAAATACGAGGGTAGGAGCATCAGCAGCAGGGTTATCGTTTGAATGACATGGTTTATGAAGCAGTGAATCCGGAGAGAATCGAGAAAGAATAGAATTGCAGGAAAATTCAATCGAAGAAAGAGAAGCCGAGCGATACTTTAATAATCATTCCCACGTGAAAAAAAGAACAATAAAGTTTACCTCAGTAATAATTTTAATGGAAATTAATCACATGTTTTTGAAAGAATTGGAGCGTGGGAGAGCACTGCACGCAGCTGGCTGAAAACTGTCTCGAGAACAAGCGTGACAGAGAACATACCACGCGCACCATCTATGGTAGAATAGTCTACCCCAAATCTTTGGCTTGAACAAAGCTCTGTGCAAAACTGCGTGATGTTAATCCGAGTCAATAATGAATTCATTTATCTGATTTGGAAATAGACCAACGAAAGATTTCCTCTGATGAAGGCAAGGCTAACGTTCTTAATCAGTTCTTCAGCAGTGTGTTCACAGATAAGGACTTGAACAGTATTCCAGATATTGAGAAGCGCCCAGTCGGCTCGAAGTTAACATGTTTTGAAATACACGAAGAAGAGGTTCTCAAGCGCCTGGTAGCTCAAAATCCCAACAAGTCATGTGGACCAGACGGCTTCCATCCCAGATTGCTCAAAGAATTAGCATCCGTTCTGGCCGGCCCATTGACAGTATTCTTTCAAAAAACNGAAGACATTCTTGGGCAGGGAGTGTGTGTTGTATATTAAAATAGACTCACGAGAAGACATTCTTGGGCAGGGAGTGTGTGTTGTATATTAAAATAGACTCACGAGAAGACATTCTTGGGCAGGGAGTGTGTGTTGTATATTAAAATAGACTCACGAGAAGACATTCTTGGGCAGGGAGTGTGTGTTGTATATTAAAATAGACTCACGAGAAGACATTCTTGGGCAGGGAGTGTGTGTTGTATATTAAAATAGACTCACGAGAAGACATTCTTGGGCAGGGAGTGTGTGTTGTATATTAAAATAGACTCACGAGAAGACATTCTTGGGCAGGGAGTGTGTGTTGTATATTAAAATAGACTCACGAGAAGACATTCTTGGGCAGGGAGTGTGTGTTGTATATTAAAATAGACTCACGAGAAGACATTCTTGGGCAGGAAGTGTGTGGGGATGCTAGTGATGACCTGGCCCCACAGGAGCGTCGAGGCGCCAAACAAGATGCACCAGAACCACAGCTCCAGGGACAAGGGGGCCGTCGAGAACGCCACACCGCCCACTTGTACGATCAAGATCTGCACAAACAAGCCCAATTTAAAGTCTCGTAAGTTCAATAAAATGATCGAATCATATTTCTGGTATAAGGAAAAAAGCACCAAATTGTACAAGGAATATTTGTACAACCAATGTGAAGCCTTGGACCAATACTGTCGAGTCTAGAGTGTTGAAGAGTAAAAATATGTTGATGAGAAAGGGTTGAAGAGTTGTACGATAAATAACATGGTATAATCATTAACATTGATCATGGTATAATCATTAAAAGAAAGAGTGGACAGTATAGAATAGCAGACTTCAATGAACTATGAACTTGTGTTACCTGAGCGACAAAGGTGCTGATCCAGATGCAACAGAAGATGGGGTTTGAGAAGATACCACGGAAAATGTTTCGCTGGCCGTGGATCATGCGGGCGTTGATTTCGTTGAAGAGTGTCATCATGACAAATGTGTTGAAAATGACCGTGAAGTGAACCGAGGGCGGATCTCTGATATCAGCCCAGCGACCGCTGTCAATGTCCAAAAGCACGTCTCCTGCAACGGTCAAATTAAATTTAATTAATATGATATTCCATTATTGAATCTCATTAATAAAATAGCAAGTCTGAATCAGAAGCTACACTCAGAAAAATAAATGGAACACTTTATCTAAACAGTGACAAACTTTCTTGCCCATAGCACGAGCATATAGTTGACGAAGCACTGATACGAACTATTGCATGTAAGATTCCAGGGGCCATACTTTCAAAACTCGCTAAGTGAACGTAAGTACATACGCTCTAATTTCTTGTATATGATTGGTGGATTTTGCTTGAAAGGCCGTCAATGATTGGCTGATGAACTTACGATCTCTTAACTGTTTTTAAAAGAGTGGCTTGAAAGGCCGTCAATGATTGGCTGATGAACTTACGATCTCTTAACTTTTTTTTAAAGTATAGGCTCTGGGTCTGGGTCAGAATGACCTATATAAGAGGAAAAGTGTGTCCCTACTGGGACAACCTCACTCTTTTCGTCTAAGTTTAAACTACTAATGGGTCAAAGCGAGCTCTGATAATGGTAAGCTAGTAAAAGAAAATCAAGGCCCAAACTTGATAGTGATTTCGTACTAGTTGAAATGTTGGCTCAGAATTCGTATATAAAAAAATTTTTAATATGGTATACATGGTATATATCAAAAGACGGTACTTAATATGGTATACATGGTATTTATCAAATATGATACTTAATATGGTACAAATGGTATATATCAAATATGATACCTAACATAGTATATATGGTACATATCAAATATGATACTTAATATACTTCATTTTATTATTTATTCAATAAATATAAAATTCTATATAGGTAATATATTCTCACATTTACATAAGAAAATGGATCGAAAAGCATGCCACTTTACACCTTCCACCGCAGTGACAGTCATAGTGACAAACCAGAGATTTTTTAAAATCAGTTAATTTTTAATTTCCTTGTTTACCTAAGATTTAAACCAATTTCTTATACTTGATAATGCTGGTATCCAGGATACTTTACTGGTTTACTTATAGGACTCAAAAATGAACTTGAGGGAGAGTCTAAAAAACTCTCTGCTTTGCCAGACAGTTGATACACTTAGCTCATCAGATTCAGAAACTGCCGCGCTTCCGCTATCTTGCGTGGTTCAAAATCCGATACCATGTTGACTGTCAACGATGCCTAGCACGATTGCAATCACCAGTTGTTTATCTGTAACTTATAAGTTTTTGCAATGAATATGTTCTAAAATGAAAGAATAATATAGACTTTTGCCAAAAATTCTCACACTTTGGCCAATACCAACAAAGTTTTCAATACCACACAAAATGATGGGATAAACTGCAACTCTTCCATGGCATATGGGCACAGCATGATTCCATGAAAACATTTGACAAGGAGGTGTCATCAGATTGTGTCGAAAATAGGGTAGTTTTGAGATAATATGTGAAACATAGGTTTAAGAATTCTTTTGTATCTTAAAACCACACCTAGCCTTAAAACTTTAGTTTTCGGGTCCATATTCGTAGCAAAAATTTAGCATTAAATTTATATAAATTGGCTGGCACCACACCTAGCGATTTTGGGTTATTGCGGGCTCACAGTTTCAGAATTCCCTTTAGAACGTTCCAAACTGCAACACATATGGCTAATTGCTACCAGTCTTGTCCAGTAGCACATCCAGATACCATCTCTTCCGTGACGTCAGTTTTCCCGTTGCGTCTATCTTTGAGGGCTATGATGGAAATGTGGCTGCACACTTCTTGTTGTGTGAGGCCTGCCATCATGACGGGCTAAGAACTCATCTCCTGGCATGACCTCCTGAGCTCCGGTCGGAGCACCTGCCATCTTCCACCACCTGCCCCAGCTTCAGCTTCTTATGAAATGTGAGTCCGCAGTACCACGAGGTAGTGCGAGTGTGTGCCGGAAGCTGACTTAGCTTAACTCTTCCCCTTACCTCAACTATAATAAAGGTGCTGCCATGCAAATGAGATGTTTCTCTAATTTTATTAACAGATATAACATGAAATTAATTTATAGATAAATTCATGCTGGCATGCAATTGATTCTTAATAGATAAAGGGGCTGTGCCCTGAATGGATAATTAATTCATTTCTCTAATTGATAATTAGATAAATTTGCCAAATATTAAGTAAATGATAGATTAATGATAATTAAGAGATAAGTCTAAATATAATTGTTTCCTGTAGATTTAAGAGATATAGCAGATTAATCAATATTTGAAACATTAATTTTTATAAAGGGCAGCACTGAACAAAATTGCATGGGGTCGTGGGCTGCGGTGCTATCACGACGTGTGGTTGGGTCCTAAACCGGCTCAAGCTCACTCACCTGGCCCAGTCAGGCTACTTTGGCCTGAACTTTCTCCTTAAAATCCATGAATAAAGGAAATAATTTTTGCAATAATTAAAAGTGTTCTATTGCCATCCCTGACCCCTATGTGCTAAGTTTTCATTAGTTTGTTTTGGTAATGTCAAGTTTGATTTTGCAATAAATAGGTTTGACTGTTTGACCCACATTCCACACTGAGATTTAAATGATGGAAAGTTATTTTAAAATTTAAACACCTATTGATACCCATTCAAATATGAATTTTTTCATGTTTTTGCCCTATTTTGTCAATATTGTCTAAATAACTCACTTCATATTCTGAATGATTTTGTCTCCCATCGAAAGTTTTCAAACGTCTTATGTCATTTAGAAAAAGTTGGTGGTTTAGAAGCAGTAATTATTTAATTTTTTTTAATCAAAGAGTGTTTAGTCATGTAACATGAGCGTATTTAAATTTAATAGCGGTGACGCTATTTAATCCCAAAAATATGTGTAATTAGATAATTAATTATAGATAGGTAATTAATTTTATATATCGATAAATATGATGCAAAAGATAATGATAGGTTATGAATACCAGGAAAAATTATTTAAAATGGTTTCACAACTTGAAGGACCAGCCCTTAAATGAGTAAGAAAGAGGTATTTGTGATTTTAATGCTCAACATTTGCCAAGGTTATATTGACCAGTCAGTGGCAAAACAATGCAACACTTCTGTGGCGACCTAACACTTGGGTTGCTTTGAACGGCCTTGGCACATATTTTTCAAGCTGCTGCTGGTAGAAATAAGCATCGTGGGAACAAAGGTGAATTTTCATTCATACATCCTAAATTAAATGGCAATGATTGTATTTGGTAAGTATTTTATGAACCTCGTTTATATATTGCAATGGAAATGTCCATACTATTTCAGAAACTGTTCTTGAATACACTTGTGAAAACTAAATTTCTGTAATCAATGTAGTCTTTGTTCCTATCTAATTACTTAAAGAACTCCCCCACCCGCCCCCCTTTCATGAAGTGTCGTGAATCTAAAAATGGACGTACAGAGATGGTAATGGTACAGTTGGATAGAGCAGAATGTCAGCTTTAAGAGTAGATTAAAAACCGGAAAAGCCGAAATCCAAAATTTTTGCCTATATGCTCCCCTTTTAACTGACGGCTACCACAAATCTAATGACCGCGTCAAAGCTGGTCGCGCTTATTCTTAGCGGTCTGATTGTCAGTGGTGAGAAATTTGCATGCTACTACATTAAAATAACTTAACCCCATAACTGAGACCTGCAGTCAGACATCGCGAGCTCAGCTGTGGGGCGCTCAGGAACAATGTCCCTAGGAAAGCGAAATTCCATAGGACTTCTGACGAGCACAGACACGCGTCAGAAGTCCCCCCTGAGATGTTGTTATAAATTAGAGTTCTTCGTCCATAGCGGTGTGGGAGTGTACATTTATTGGTTAAATTAGATGAAATGAATACCATGAGGAATGAACTGTCATGAAAATAGTCCCAATACTTAGTATTATTCCTAATACATAGTCAGTATTAATTTTTTAATGCGGAAGCCAATTCGGTAAACGCGTGAAAGATTTCAATGTCGACTGAAATGTATGACGTCATCACTCCTCAGGAATGAACTGCAGGACGAAAGTTGTCTCTCGACAGATGACGGAGAGTTGCCGCTTGACAGGTGACGGAGAGTTGCCGCTTGACAGGTGACGG